AAAAATAATGAAAAAAAAATGTCAACCTCCACCACGGGATTCGAATCCGGGACTTGTCGCTTACAAATCGAACGTTATAAACAACACTTTATTCGAACTTTGAACTAGAGGTTCATTTAGTCTCAGCTGCAACTTCAACTTCAATTTGTATTCACAAACAACGTAGTAAAACCCTGATTTCATGTCGACGTAAGAAGGTGCTTACGACTACGTCGTTTTGTCGTAACAAAATACGATTTGAGAGGAAACCGATTGCGACTGATGCGTTGTGAAATCGACGTAAACGCAAAGCATAATCGTTGTAACGCAATGCTCGACAGGAAACCGACGAGTTGAATATCTGTCTGATACGTCGATTTTTCATAAATCGACAGAAAACCGCGATTTTGTCGAATATCCATGAATGAACTCGCTTACGTTACGTTGCTAACGATTCTTATGCAAATTTGACTCCAAGTCAACTTTTCATAAGAAACGTAAGCGAACATTGAAAATGGAATAGGCCTATGTATTTCGGTATTTATTAACCATACACTTATAAAATTGTTGTAAGTTTCAATGAATATGGCCTCAAAACTGACTTAAAATTTATATTTCATTAAGTTTGAGTCGTTCTAATTATAATCTAGGCTAATAAACGGTTGGAAAAAAGGACACTTATCTACTGCATAGGCCTAATACATAGGTTAGGTCCATACGATGTTATCATTTGTACTGTAGTTTTTTGATTTTTTTTTTGTTTATTTTTTTTTTGCTAGTAGGCCTGGTAATAAGGGCGCCTCGCCCCAGATTTCTTTCAAATTTGAATAGACAGTGATATTTTATTTTTGGAGTAGGCCTAGGCTTTATAATTCTTTTTGAGCTTCTGTGTTTACTTATTGCAAAGTTGAACATAATTTTAACCTGTTATACATGAACTATGATTTTCACTTGCTTAAAATCCAAAACAATGACTTGATCGTCAGAAGTTGGTCCAGCAAAGACAAAAAAATGTGAATCTGGGTTGTTGTGGTACTGTAGCCAATGATATAGCTAATGTCAGAACAGAGTGAGATAAGCTATTCAATGTGTGCTGGTACTAGACTATTCTCTTTTAAAATGCTTTTGTTTTTTGTTTTTTTTTAAATTTATTTTTCATTTTTTAAATATGTTAGAACTTTGGCATTTGTATTTTTAAAATGTTTAATTAGTAAGGCAGGGGAAATTAAGACATTTATTTATTTGTACTTTTTGTTTATCTCTTCAGATTGTCATGTTTTTTGGTGTTTTTTTCTTATCTTTCTCTTGGACGCACCGTTATGTACATACTGTCAGTTGCGTATCGAGAGGTCTTGAAATGGGAGGGGAGGGCGCGAAGGTGAAGTGGGGGAGGCTCGATGATCAGTTGAGGGCCGCTAATTCGCAAAATGGGGATTTTAGGTGATTTTTAACTACTTCACCGTGATTTTTTGCGGGGCGACTGTGGGCGCGAGTCATTTTGGGGGCGTGCGCCCCCCCCCCGATACGCCTCTGCATACTGTGCCACGGTTGCAAAGTGTCGCTTCCAAATAAAGAATACAATAAATGTTTGTTCAATCAGTATACAATAGGCCTACATGACACGGTGGTCCCGAATGAGATTTTTAAGCACTGAATTCCATTTTTAGGAAGGATTGAATAATTTAATTCTTAACTTATAATTTTATCGCATTTACAATTATCTTATAAGCATTTTCTAATAGGCCTATTAGTAGGCCTATATTTCACTGGATTAACTTATTGTTTAGGCCTATTTCATTTCATGAGACTTTCATCAGGCTGATGGCAAAGCCGAAAAATTGCGAATTTCGAGGGTTAATTTTTAATGAGCAAACCAGGCATCACAACAGATAATCGCAGTCTCAAGGACAATATTCAACTTGACGCAAGGAGCGTATAACGTCGTTAGCGTAGGAATTTCAGCTTGAGGTTTGAAAAGTCAACTGGCTTATGAATCGTTACCTTTCTTATTTTTTTACGGCCCAACACGATCAAGACGCGGCTGATTTTGCCCAACTTCTCGTAACATTCGTAAGAATCGTATGAGTCGTAAGAAATTCTGACTTTTACGTCGACAGGTAACCAGGCTTTAAGTACTTATGCGTTCGATTGGTTCGAAACAGCCAAGCTTGTTGCTGATTGGTCCAAGAAAAAAAACGTACGATTTCAGGATGCAAATGGCTCTCGGATCCATTGGTCCAGATCAGGAGTCCGGATTGGAAATCGTTCGAATTTGATGTGAACGGTCCTATTCTTTACCACTGAACCCATTTTCACGATTTTTTCTCCGGACCGGAATCCGGGCTTAATGTGAACGTAGCTTAATACGTTTTTAATTACGTGCCATCCGGTATCCATTAGGATCCTTCAATCATTGTTCTTTGGACCAACAATTCTATAAGGTTTCATTCAGATCCAGTGATCCAGTAGTCACTAAAATTTAATCATTTCTTTCTTGGAACATGACAAACCATTTTAGAAAGTTTCATTTAGATCCATTGATCAGTTTTTCAGGTATTTAGGTCTGGGTCCTTAGTGATTTAGATGACCCCCAAATCCACACCCAAGTTTAGATTGTTACTAACATCTAATCATTTCTTCGTTGTAACTTAGTGAATCAGTTTATCGACTTTTTAGATATTTGGTCTGCGACATTTCTCTTTAAATGATCCTCATATCCACACCCTACTACAGATCGTCACCAAATTTATTTATTTCTTGTGACATGACAAACCATTCTTAAATGAAAAAATGATCCAGATTCATTTATCAATTTTTGAGGGGTTTTTTTTATATATGGTACGTTAGTATTTTAAATAATCCCAAAATTCACACCCGAATCTGGATTATCACCAAAATACAGCAATGTCTTTTTTGTAACTTGGCTAACACTACGGAAAGTTTCATACAGATCAGTAGATCAGTTCTTTAGATATCTAGTGTGGGGTGTTTTTTCTATGGTCCCCACATCCACACTCCACTCCGGATCGTCACCAATATACTAAGGAACCTTCCATTCAATATAAAAATATAATCTAAAATCCGCTGAAGATATAACCTCCTTGCGGAGGTAAAAATTATAATAATGATTATGATGATAATGATAATAATAATGATGATGATAATAATAATAATAATAATAATAATAATAATAATAGTAATAATAATAATAATAATAATAATAATAATAATAATAATAATTGTAATTTTTCCTCACATTAATATAAATGGCATTATGTTCATTAACATAAACTGCATGATGAAAAACATAATAAAAGAAAATCATTTATACGCAGTGCTGTTTGGCACTTTGATCTGCTTTGATCTCTCAGTATCATCATCAGTAGGCCTTATGATACATACACCAGTGTCTGTCAATAACGATCAAGTGTTTTCAAAAGAAGGCGGCTAATGGAACAATAACAATAAAGTATCCATTGTATCACTATCCTCATTATCGGTATGCCATCATAAATGCCATCAGCACCATCGTCATCATCTTAATTGTTTGTAAAGTCGGGCACTAACTGCGCTGGACGACGGTCGTACGACCGTCGGCCGACAAATTCAACTCCGTTCCCTGTGAGCGTTAGACGACACGACGCCGTCTGCTGATTGTCGGTGGCAGCCTGAAAAGATCGTTATTTAAACGATCCATTGCGCGCGTGGTGGCGTTGCATTCGACGACTCTCGGGCACTTTGAGTGACCGGAATTCGTAACTGTGCCCGGGAATCGAGCCAGACACAGGTCCGGAATCAGGGCTTGGTGTGATTGTAGCTTTATATTGGATGTCTTCATATAATCAATCATAATCAATATAGGCTTAATTATCATTGTTGTCTCCATCTTCATCAACAACAACGCCTTCTATGATTATCATCACATCCACCTTACATCACAGCGCATTGAGATTCGGTATAATATCAAGTCCCACTACATTGCATTACATCATCATCATCATCATCATCATCATCATCATCATCACCGTCATTACCATTACCATATATTCTAATTCACCATCATAATCATCATCATCGTTAATAAGTAATTTTATAGTGATTTTTATATAGTTAAAAGTAGGGTTTCTGGAATTCACGAAATTACAAACTTATTTACTCAACCAATTGTTTTATTCAAGATACAGAAATCAATTACAGTTGATTAACTTCATTGGTCGACCAATAAGGCAGTAGTAATTTCAGGTAGGCCTATGTATTTGTTAACGGTCTAATACGATTTATCTGCTAGGCCTATCTCACAGCTCTTAATGCACTAACATACAAAACTACGATATAACATAGTCGATTTAATTTAAATAAATATAATTTAATGTAGAATTACCATACAATTAGGATACAATACTATACAATTAGCCTATTCCATACGTATACGTTTATAAAAAATATCCGTAATGTATGCTTGTTACGACTTTTTTAAACAATCTGATTTACAGATCAAACGAATTCTTCTTATGTTCTTTTTTAATTTGTATTTCAACCAAAGATATAGCCATCGTTGCTGCATAAAATATACACACACACAAGATGTGTATAAGAGACAGCCTTCAATCATTGTTCCTTGGAGCAACAATTCTATAAGGTTTCATTCAGATCCAGTGATCCAGTAGTCACTAAAATTTAATCATTTCTTTCTTGGAACATGACAAACCATTTTAGAAAGTTTCATTTAGATCCATTGATCAGTTTTTCAGGTATTTAGGTCTGGGTCCTTAGTGATTTAGATGACCCCCAAATCCACACCCAAGTTTAGATTGTTACTAACATCTAATCATTTCTTCGTTGTAACTTAGTGAATCAGTTTATCGACTTTTTAGATATTTTATATATATATATATATATATATATATATATACATATATATACAGTATATATAATATGTTAATTATCGTATTGATTATTGTTATTATTACTACTACAATTATCAAACAAAAGCTTTTCCCTTTGTCACTCATTAAAAAAATATTTGTCAGAATCAATCATAAAATTGACACAATTTACAAATTGAGACATTTATTATTCTCTTCCAAAAATTGCCGGATTACTGTCTTGAATAATATTTATACTTATTCATTTTTTTATTATTTACATATCTGTGAGATTCTTCAAAATATTTTATTGTTAGTCTGTGGTTATCGACGATGCAGCTTCAGTACGACTGTAAGTAGCAAAGCACACCATTATCAAAACCGGAGGCCGGACTGGTTAAACAAATATGGTATTTTAAATATTTGTTATTAAATTCCAAAAAAGGGCAACGTGTTATTACTTTACGTATTGCGAATTGATTTCTTGACGAAGCTTTCGCTTACATCTGTCTTTGTGTTTCGTACCACACTTAATTTGAGGCCTACTAAATATGACCTTCGTAAAGTGTCAAAATTACAGTGAAGATCAATACGGTCATGTACTTGGCAACATTTTGTATACTTGTTATCAATTTACATATTCGTTAAATTAACGCCCTCCTGGTTTGCGTCCCAAGTTAATTCCAGCCACCTTTCTCAGTCTCCCACCAAAAAGTTGTTGTTTAATAGCTGTTTCCCTGTTGCTTCCACGTTTTGTAACATCTGTTGAAGAAAAAAAAATATCAATAAATGTAATAATACGTTGGTAAGTATCTGAAATTGACGTCATAATGTGAATGAACATTAACTTTATCATTATATAGTTTTTATTTATTAATCGAGTAGTGTTGGAAATGTTTTCAGTACTTATTAACGATTGATATGCTCAGCGCTCGATTGAAATAAAGTAATCGATAAACAATTAATCAAAAAGTTAATCGATCACAATATTCAATTGATTACCAATCGATGATTAATGCATACTTCATTGACTCAATGCTCCATTGAAATAATGTGATCAATTTTCAATTAGTCAAGCAGTCAGTCGATCACAATATGCAATCGATCACTATAAGTCAGTGATTAATGCATACTTCATTGACTCAGTGCTCGATTGAAATAATGTAATCGATTTTCAATAACTTAAACAGTTAGTCGGTCACAATATTAAATTGATCACTAAGTCAATAACTAATACATGCTTCATTGACTCATTGCTCGATTGAAATAATGTAACCGATACTCAATTAGTAAAGCAGTTAATCGATGAAAATATTCAATTGATCTCTGAGTCAATAATTGATACATGCTTTTTGATTGATTTACTGTGTTCGACTAATTGTTGTAATTGAATAGATACATTGAATGATACATTGATTTACTTATTGATTAATTGATTTATAGTTATGGATTGTTTGGGTGGATATTTATGAATTAATCAATTGATTATATTATTTGATTGATTCATAATAAATTCTATAGTTACGACCGTCGTACGACACAGCAAAAGGGCAAGATTTTCAGTTACTTATACCATCTACTAACCAAGATTGTTTTCTTCTCCAGAATAATATTCGGATTGGCCATCTAAATCTGTATTCATAAACCTGTCTGATTCTAGCATTTTTGACATGAGAACCCAAGGCAGCACCGCTCCCGATTCACCATCTGTCTCCAGTGAAATTTGACCAGAAAATCTAAGGACGGGAACACTTTCCGTAAGGCAGATGCATCCAAGAAGTAGGACCGTGATAATTTTCAAAGTATTGCTTGTTGTCATTGTATCTGTAAGATACAAATCATGATGATGATAATAATAATAATAATAAAATTACACATCTCTCCTGTCAAGGCGAGCGTGATAACCATTAGACCACAGGAGCTTCATGGTTAACATATTCAAATAACCGTCATATACCCTGTCTCTTATACACATCTAGATGTGTATAAGAGACAGATAGTAGAGCGGCTAAGGAGAAAAATCGTGCACTTTTGGAAGAAAGCATGAAACTTTCTACAGTGATACTATGATACCTAAGGATAATTAAAAAAAAAAACTCCAGAAAATAATCCGCTCAATGGCCGCCATCTTGAAATTTAAAATGGCCACCAAAATATTGGATTTTTATCAATAATGTTTTTGATCTACTTGTTTATTTTATGATGCAAAAACGCTTCTAGACAGTCGAATACAAAATATTTTATTCGTGTATACATATTTTATGGATGTAGTTTATTGTATATATATATATATATATATCATTGATCTACATATAGTTATATAAATGTAGCTTTATGACACCTATATAATAGTTACTAAATAAAAGATTGTATTTAATATGCAAAGTGAATGTAATAGTTAAGCCTAATTCTATTCGCCTTACAAAGAACACGTCAAAAATAAAATTTTGTAGTGATATACGATTACTCTACATAAATCAGCCAAAATTTATAACTCTATATACTTATAGTATTATACTGCGCCCTCTCAATGATGGTTCACGCACCAATGTTATTGTAACACAAATTCGAATGACAACTGATACGGTAGGCCTACTATTACCTTATCACATTTAACCGTTATTAAATTTCGAACGAAATACACACTTTACAAAAATGTATGTAGTATGTAGCCATATAGAAATAACTATCGTTCATATTTAATATAATTTATTTATGCCTCAAAAAAGGTCTTGGGACTTCTAGAACCCAATGCTTGTATGACTCGGCGAGCCAGAAATACCATGTACAAGATAATACAAGTACGATATGCTAATCCAGGTGTGTATATATAGTAGCATGTGAAAAAGGAATGGGATTATGATCAAAATCAACATTCGATGGAAAGTTTACTACCGTATAAAATGGAACTACACTGATTACATAAAACGTTGGATAACTGTTAGGCACTGCACCAAAAAAAAAATACATACAAATAACCCTCCCTCTCTCATGACAATTTTATATTTTGTGTTTGATTTAAATTATAATAATTCATCACTAAAAACATTTTAAAAATCAGAGTGAGTAGAACCAAATTTATGGTAAAAACGCTTCCATTATTGAAGTACATTAGGTAATTATACTTATGGAAAGATTTTATTTCAAATGTATATTACATAGACACTAAAATAATATTTTTTTTTAATTATTGTTGGTTTAAATTGTGTACAATAAATAATATTACGTAATTTAGATATTATTTTATGTTATGTTAAGTCATTGTTATTTTATTATGTTAATAACTTATATGCTGTTATGTGCCCGGTATGTTATGTTATGCTATGTTATGCTACGTTAGATTTTTGTTATGTTAGGCTATAGATGTTTTATGTTATGTTGTGTTAAGTTGCCGTATGTCAATTATGTTATGTTACGCCTATATTATATTTTGTTGTGCTATGTCATGTCATGTTTTGTTAATGTTGTGTAATGTGTTGTGCTACTCTAGGTTTCTTAATGAATTAATAATTCGTTTCACGTAGGCCTATACCATATCAAATTTCGTATTATCATATCTATGTTAGGTTTTGCTTTGCTGTTGAGTCATATCACATAGGCCTATAATATCATATCATAAAATATCATCATATTATATTATTTAGGGTCCTATTTCTTATATTGAGAAGTTATTTTAAAGTCGAGTAAATATTGTTTTTTTTAATACTGAGTATGCTGATCAAAAATTTGAAATAGAGCTAGGTCAAAAATATCTTGTAGTAGGGCCTATAGATTTTTTTTTTCAAGTTATAGATTTGTAATTGTCTGTGATGAAATCTGGAAAACTTCAACAGAATTATATTTAGTTCTCTCAAATTTACAATTCTATAGCTGCAGCCGTATTCAGTTCAGATGTAACCTATCCAGGTACCGATTTAACTCCCGATTGAATAAAAGCAATGTACGTGCTTTGCCTAAGGACACAGACAATAGAAAAATCCCAGATTCGAACCACTGAACTCTCTATTAGAAACTAAAAGCCTTGCGCCACATCCTTTTTCTGGTTCTAATATTCAGTTGATTTTACTTGCATAGGCCTATACAAGGTAAGAGATTTACCTCATCAACACCGACGATGTCCTCTTAATATTTACAAAGAATAAAGTAGCATTACTAAGTTTGAAATAATATTATCTTAAACGTGGGCCTACGTACAATATTTTAAAAGTACAAATTCAATGTTTCTTATAGGCCTATTTCAAAGTAGTTATTTAGTATTTCCAGCATCGACTGATCTGTGTATTCAATTACAAATAATAAATAAAGAGTGAACGGTCATAAAATAAAGAGAAAAAAAGAGTGAAAACTTACCCATTTTATGAATTGTATAGGCTTGCCTATAAGTGCACGATTAAAAGTGGGGTCTCTTATTACTCGAATATCCAGATTTCAGTTGCGGGATCAAAAATCAGTTACTACATAGAACGTATGGACGTGGTCTGAATGAATACTCGTCCTAAACTTGCGGGTAAGATCTATTTAAGTATGTTCGTGTGAGGGGGTGTGTGTAGCAACACTTTTACGAAGCCTGGTTTGTCGTCACTACTGCCTTTGTAAGTAAATACCGTATTCATTCCTGGAGTTGACGGATTGTAGATATTTCTATGGCAACCAATCATCATGGATATTGATAGGTGTAACGTGATGACGATAGACATAGTTTAACCAATGAGGACTCGAGAATTTCAAAGAAATAGTCACGGTTATGTGACAGAGTACTACAGAAATTTAGAGACACCTACGGAAAATTAAAGAAGCCAACAAGCAGCTAATTCAATGTTTGTTAAATTCAAGGTTGATTTTTAATAGGCCTAATTTTAAACTGAGCGAATTTCATCAAGTACTGAAGTAGCGCTCCGCTGCCTACCTTGCACGTTACTCCGGAGCTGTCTCTTATACACATCTAGATGTGTATAAGAGACAGCAAATAATACATGGATTCCCTATTGAATTCAGCCATCACAGCCTAATTAAAAACTTTGACATCACCGTGATTTAACGTCATGCATATTGAGCACCTGTATCACGTGACACCGTTGGTGTTACGACATTCGTTTTGGGGGAATCAATCGCTTGTTGATAGTCTCTACCTTGCACTGTTTAAAAGATTCTGCTGTCTGCCATCCAAATTATTGTAATCTTAATGTATATGATGCCTGATTTATGTACTATAAACTAACTCCTGCGTCCAACCAAAAGTTCGTGGTCACATAGTTATGTATTGTTTTCTTACTTTTTAAATATATTTTTTTGTTAATTGATTGATTTACTATTCAAACGAACACATTCCACGTATCGCTATTTCCTGTAGGATTACGGGAGGCATCGTCCAGTAGGTCTATATATTATTTCAGACGGTGAACCATGTTTTAAGTCGCACATAAATAAGCCGAATTACGTGCTCTCTCTCTCTGTTTGTGATTACGGTTACCACAATGTTTGGTATTTTCCTTTAGAAGGTTAAAATGCTCATGACCAAGACGTGTCAAAACTTTTTAGAAACTACGTGCTTCATTTCATATAGGCCTAATGCTATGTTATAACAGGGAGTTGTTATAGTAACTATAACAACTCCCTGGTTATAGGCCATGTCTTTTAGATACGTTGACCTGACATAGACTTGCTGTTCTCCGAGCACAATGCCTGATAATTAGTAAAGGGAATTGCAATCTCGGGAAAATTTGAAAATCCTGAAAATACATTTGCTTGTGTTTCCGCACAGATCCTATATTATTACTGTTTTTGTGTTTTATAAATTATATAATTTATGTAAATAATATTCAGTTACTTCTTTAAATGATGATATAGAAGAAGGTTATATGCCTAATAGCAATCACTTCATAAAACACGAAAATGAACGACGGCGACGGAAACAACGGAAGCGCATCCATAACATTATATACGGCAATAGTGATTCGTTTAATCATATATAATAATAGATGTGATAATGATGGTGATGATAATTTTAATTATGGTGATGATAATTTTAATGATGGTGATGATAATTTTAATGATGGTGATGATAATTTTAATGATGGTGATGAGGATGATGGCGGTGATGATGATACCGATGGAGATGGTGATAAAATATTAATTCAATTACACGTATTGGCAATTACTTTGTCCTTGTTAAAATGAATGTTAACTCAGTGATCCCTTAGTGGAATTCTTATGTTCGTAGGAGCAAAATATGTAGAAATGAACACCATTACCATTAATGTATTATGTTTTAATTCTGAAGAATAAATGCATACAGGGCTCACTTCAATTTCTCTAATAATAAAAAGTTTTTCTTAAAACAATAGTACCCTACTTTTCACCGTAAACATTGAGATTTCACTCCATTTATAGGCTACGCTCTTTTGTTAATATTCCCGGCACAGACCTATACATTTTCAGCTCAAATGTAAGAAGGTAGGCTTGAAGCTGCATTTAAATCGGATCGGATTTAAGTGAGCCATGTGGCCACTCCTGTTAGTCTTTGGCGTTTATTACAAAAGTACGAAACGTTAACGCTGAAATTTTCCCTTATGAAAGCGATTATGAGGTAGTTATCATCTACTTACCACGTAGACGATATTAATTATATACGTTGTCGGGGACGAAATATTCAAAAATAGATATGCTAAGAAAATATAAAAAAATGATATGCCTAATCTATTTCCGAAGATCATTACCGCACAGCTTATATAATAGAAAATGCAACTACTGAAAAAGATGTCGGTATTGTAGACCATCGAGTTACTGAATCTATTCAAAGATTGTATTTTTTGTTTCTAAGAAAACTTTTAATATAGGCCTAGACAATACGATAATGAAGCTAATTTCTAAGCTGTAAATGGTAATTAACCTTGTCCGCCTGTATGGTATGGTATGTAAAATCAATAAGTATAGATTTGATAGTGTGGGAACGGGTGCTAAACGATGTGTAGGCATTATTGATTTATGAACTTTGTCTTTGCACATGCATTAATGATAATACAAATGGAACACATTGAAAAACTTGCTTTAATTAGTTTGAATACTTTCAATATTTTACCAATCATGTTGTTGTAAATGTGAGAATACGCTTAGCAAAATTACGACCTATTTTAAAATACTGTATACTTAATCAATTTCTAAGTATAGCATCGCTTCAACTCATGAATTGTATATTATTAAGGGTTTATTTTGTTTAACGTTTGAAGAAAAAATAAATAAAAATGATATACAGTATAATATTTCATTTGATACTATTAAATTTGCCTCTCATTCTGTTATATTGTAACGAACAGTGCAATTAGGCCTATTAATTACAATAACTGGATACAAAATAAGGCCATTTAACAAATTGATGGTCTATAGCAAACAGAAATATACAGTAAGGTTACCTGTACACCTATTTAAAATTAAACAAACTATCAACAAGTGACAAAGATTTGGTAACGGTGTATTATTTTGTATTTATAAGAAATGCTCACAGCATTTAGCATACTTTTTGAAGTATTCATTCTTCTTTCTATTCAATTAAACTATAATGATGAATGATAACACAAAATCGCATACCAATTATGCAGAAACGCGGCGACCAAGTCGTTAAGAGCGAAGTCGCGCAATTCGCAATCATAACCTAGAGTATCAATCAAATCGTAATACGATTTGTAAACATACAATGTTTTCGTAGTACACAGTGCACATATATATATATATATATATAT